GGTCGTTGACCTAAGATTTCGTATTTCTAGATAATATGCATATTTGATTGCCATTTGGTAAGGATAATAGAGAATACGATTTGAGAGACGGACAGCTTTCCTTGCTCTGTCGGTAAGGTAGATAATAATTTTTCACGTTGGGTTGTGCCTTTAACAAAGAGGATTGGCTGGTTGTAGTCGGTAAGAGAAAGCAGGAGAAAGGTGGGTAAGTCAGAAGAGAGACAAGTGTGAAAAGTTGAAAGGGGTGGGTAGTCGGTTGCGGTCGGGATCATTGGTGGCGTCGGTCGTGTCGAGAGGCTGCATTAGCGGCATTACACTTAGACAAAGGGTTGTTTTGGGGAGGAGTGGGAGAGCGAGGACTAGGCTTACCCGAAAATCCCTTTACAATGCCGCGCAACCCCTTAGTGGGCGAGTTCGGGGTACCCGTATGAAAATGTCCCGAGAAAACCTGCGAAAACCATCCCCCCCGTTCGTGAGTAATCGGGTTTGTAGGATTTGCGTAGCGTCCTAAGCCACCCTAGTAAAACGCCATTCGCCCGACTCAACCCCCGGGTCAAGGGTCTTAATAAGGGGTGCTAGGTGCGAATGTCTCGAGGACAATTCCGGCCTCGTTGTGGGAAATTATACCAAGCCAAACCCCAATCCTTTTCGCGGCCCCAAACAACCCCCGTAACCTTTTCCAGTAGCAGCATCTATGCCATATTCAGTAGTGAACTGCCCTTACGATCACGAAGGGACGAACACGTATGAGAGCGTCGAATCAATCGGCCTTACGTAAAATTCCCTCATCTTCAAGCAACCCTAAGGTTCTTCTATCCGTCGTTCGTGACGCTACCGCATTGGCGGCGCTGCCATCGACTTCTTGCACTTCGTTTATTTTCCAATATTTTATCGGGGGGTGTATATTCCAGTGCCAAGGAGCACTACCGCTGATTGAACCTACCCTGATCCCGAACGGTACATCCCTATCTCGTCACCCATTTCATCCCCATCGACGTTTCGTTCGGCTCCTTCAAACCATTGAGTGACCATGGCGCTATCTGACGGTGGCCATTTCAACTTAAAGAATAAATCAGAGATACTCCGACGGGGAATGAAACGTCACGAAGTACCTCGGTACTTCCAGATCTAGCTTAATGCGTCCGATTCAGTCCACAGATAGATCTGATGCTCTCGATAGCCCAGTAGTCTCCTTTAATAGACTTTACAAGTAATGGGCTTTTACATCTGGCTTCCATTCGATACGACGACGATCTACCTTTCTTCGTCCTTTCTCGGTCTACTACCCACAATGCAATTCGCTGCGGAATACGAATTGTACCGTATAACGGACGCTACTAGGAACGTCGGTGCAGTCACTAACAAGATTGAAAAGGGGCTGAAATTAAACGAATACAGAAAAAGAAGAGATTATAACGACCAGTAAGGGTTGCTCCACCCTTTTCAATCCTCTCGATTTTTTTTCATTTCTTTTAAGAAAAGGGTACTAACGGCACCCTCACCCGGACATTTTTCACGCGCCATCCACGCGAACATGGTGGCACATCGGGAGGGGGTGAGTATCACCTATCGGCAGGAGAGAAAAGAGGGGTGGGAATTGTGAGGAGGGCTGGGAGGTAGATCAGCCGTCATATCAATATAAACGATGGTTAAGGGTACAATAGAGTGGTTGGTTATCTGTGACTGTGATATATAACCAGGGCCGTACCCTGCGGTGCTTCCTCCCCGCCTGCCGTTACCGCTATAAAATACCCTGTAAAGCGTCGTATTATTCCGAACGCCAGATCGGACGCGGAATAATATTTTTTTCTCTCTATTATCTCGTTTTTTCTCTTTCACTCTTCTTCACCCCGCCGTTCTTTCCTCTTGTCTATTTTTCCCATCCAGTTCATGCATCCCCTCCTGTGCCTCGGCGGAACGGTTCGCGGCGCTGGGCTTAACCTGGTGAAAAATGCCGAGAGGGCTGAAATTGATATGGCACGTGTCGGCAGGTGAATCCTCCTGGTGTCGGAGTATCGGAAACGCGTATATCACTCGTTTACGCGAAAGTAACAAAAATGACGGTATTCTTTCTTCGGGTAGGACGATATCCGATTGCTTTGACGTTGAAAGACGTTGAGGTAAAAAAGAAGTGCCGACGCGACATACGGGGTATAGTCCAACATTGTGAGGTAAAAGTCAAACATACGGTATACTTGGTTTTGAATTTTATACAATTTTTTCTTTACCTTCTAAATTACTCTCGGAACTCGAACGTTTGAGAACCACTGATTGCAAGAGGAGGCCGTCCCTCAAGTCTGGCGTACGATTATTTCGCGTTTCCGCGATATTAGCAATTTCCTAGTCGCGTTCGCTACCCGGGCTATTCATAATGTTAACCATGACGCGTAGATACCTCGACAACATATGGAACCCAGGAAGGTTCCTGACCCCAATATTTTACGGCCCTGACTATTTCCACCGGAGGCCTACGGTGCATTCGATTTGCATAGATTGGATATAGCGGGGGCAAGACGCAATAAAATAAATAATCGTATAAACCGACACCGGGGATAATCGTTGATAAAAATATTATTATGACGCGGGCAATTATTATTATTATTACCAATTTTTTTCTCTCAATTATAACGAGAGCCGAATTAAGGTAAGCAATTACAGATAATGGTGGCGCCCTCTCGGAGCTCCGCGGCAAGATAGGAATACACAGCGGCTGCTCATTAAGTGGCTCTTCTCCTTTTTCGACATTAAGGCCGTAACGCGCGTGCGGTTTGCGCCAGCGTAATTTTCCTCGTCCTTTACCCCAGCATCCTTCCGCACCCGGAAATTCAGCAAGGAATTTTCTCCGGTGCATCCTGCCACCGGATATGCTCATCTACCTTTGCCCGTGTCGTAAAGCCTCGCCCACATTATTTGTCTGGGTACAAGTGGACGACGCCTGGCGACGCTCGTCGAGGCCCTTTTTCCCCTTTTTGTTCCTCTTCTTCGTGGCCATCGAGGAGTCATTACCGGTCGCCCTTTAACATTTCCTTAGTCATCGTCTGGAACGTTCCAGAGGATTCGACCCTTGCGGATATGAGGAGTTGGGAGACTCGAGCAACCCTGGGTGCCCCCCTCGCCCCCCCTCCTTTCCCTTTTCTTTTTTAATTTGCTTCAGACTGCCGTGGCAGATCATATCGGCGAATGTAATTCAGCGAGAGGTCAGAGAATCTGGCATGACCTCGGACTAGATTAGCTGAAACGCCTTCGTGCGTCTGGCACTTCCTGTTTCCGGTTTCGACGACCACCGCGGCCCTTACGATGCTTATTCGGTCTGCTTTCATAGGTTGATGAATAAATGTAAAAATTGTTCGCGGGCCAAAGTCGAGTCGAGACCACCCCTAAGTGGATGACCGAATTCCCATTTTCCATTGATTTAAGAACAGTCACGAAAATGATTAATAGTAGCAACACACTCAACCCTGATATTTCGTATTCTCGTCGAGTCAAGGAAGAGACTATGAAATTCCAGTCACTCCCTTCTATGTGACAGCTACCGAGTTTATTTATTTTTTTTTTTTTTTTTTTTTTTTTTTTTTTTTTTTTTTTTTTTTTTTTTTTTTTTTTTTTTTTTTTTTTTTTTCAAAATAAACCAGACGTCCATGAACACTTGTTCACATAGATTAGCACACTTTTAATGCTGATCGCACCAAAGAAACTTGTTTCGCAATCAGGTTCGTGACTGGTTCGAAAGTGACGTCATTCGCGTAACGGCTTATCTCCAGACAAGTAGTGACGTCGCGACGCGTACACAGACGTGCAATGGGTGCGGAGTGTTGGTCGTTGGGGTGTTGTCTTGGGGTGATCCGTCTTGCTTACCAACCTCACCGTTGACACCACCCCCCTTGCCAGGGGGTGGTAGGTTCGCCCGCAGTTCCTGAGGTGGTTTGGGCTCTCTCCTCGTATCAATCTATAAGATTGCCATAGCAGTTATCTAACCACCTTCGGGCGAATCTGCCAAGGCTGAAGGTGGCGGTAGGTCGGCGACCCCCTAGACCCTTTCTTCTGATCTTGTCGGACCCACCCTACTTTAGCACCTGCTCATAGTCTTTTCATTTCTGATCTAACTGTATCCTCTCCTCGCCCAACCTAAAACTCCCACTCGTTCAACCCCCCTATGCGTCTAATCACACCGGTTATCGAAATCCTAGATAACGATAGCGTCTCACCAAAAGTCCTCGATAAGGAGCCGGAAGTCCTTAGGACGCCGTACGATGACCTCAAACCAACAAGTTATCCCGGCAGGAAGGCGAGAATTTCAAATTACCCGGAGCTTCCGATGCTGGATTTAGTCTTGTAGTTTCCTAATAGTTGCTTCTAATTAACAAATGCATCCATTGGTCAGTCGACCTCTGACCTATTGATCCAGAACCACGTCGACCTGGGTTTGCACCTTTGGATCAGGAAGTGCAAGGATCTTCCTAGAAGGGGCGGGGGGCTTACTCTGCTACCTCGAGAAACTTTGCCTGCGGGCGTGAACTCAGTTCAGAACTTTATACTTATCTATTTGCTCTCACATACATGTGTATATATATATATATATATATATATGAAATCGTTATATATATATGAGCAATCCAACAATCTCTAGTTATATAAGATTCTGAACTAAGTGATATTGTACACTGAGATTTCTCTGCAGTGTCTATATGCATGTATATATATATATATATATTTATGTAAATCCTGATTTACTCGTTGCGATTTGAAATTTGATCTGTCTTATGCCCACCTAAGTAAATATATAATATACATCGGCGTCAGGCGAAGAAATTGCTTAAAAAGGACAAAATTTATAAGTCTTCCGAAGCCGAAGATAAGTCGGCCATCTTAATGGACAGGGGTCATAAATATTATGGGTGAAGGGACATTTTTACCTTTACGATCTATTCCGTCATTCGCCGTTGATACCAGGCTGATAAATCTTTTTATAAAGCATCGTGTAAACACATTTGCTAAGTCGTAATCGTAAGGGCTGAATAAATTTGTAATATTTTCCGTGATACTCACCGGTGCGTTTCTCGGCGTCGCGAAACGTCACCTCGCTCATGATAACCGGCGCGCTGCGTCCTTTTGCATTCGCGGCGTAGACGGCCACGTGAACTCCGGCGTCGACGGATGCTTCCAGGCCGGAAAGCGCGAAGACGGGTTCCTCCTTGGCCGTGACGTTGTAGAGCGGCCGGATGTTTGGTAGGTCCAGGTCGCCGTGGTAGACCTCGAGGATGAAGCTCTGGGGGAGACCGCCGTCGTAGCCAGGGACGCATCTGACTTCGACGCTGGTGTAGGTCTGATTAGCCAGGGTGCAATTGCGGACGGGAAATGGTTTGCCTGTAATTGTTATTAGAAAAAATAAAGTTTTATATACAGATATATCGATATAACGCGTGACCCAGGAATAAGTGAGCAAAGTACTTGATTATCGTGACCATAAGTACAGTTGCCACTGGGTATATAAAAAGTCTTTGATAAAGTAAACGAGGTCGGATAGAGTATCCTGCATTGTTATGAAGGTACATTAAGTTATGAGAATAATTAGTTAAATTAGAATTTTCTTTGTATCTTTTATTATTCGGCGAGACAAAAAGTACAATGCCAGGATTAAATAATTGTTTGAACTTAATCAGGTGATCAGGGGGTTAGATGGGATAAGAAATATGGTAAATAATAAAAGCGTGTCGCGTTCGTCGGTAACGAAAAGAAAATGTTATTCATTTGTCTTTTTGAAAAAAGATAAGCGAAAAGTGTCCTTCGCTCGGGAATCGAACCTTTCACAATCTTCGGTCCCTCCCGCCTTTTTCGTCTCTCCTTTCGTACCCCTCATAAAATAACATTGCTCTATACAGTTCTGCCTTGAATTTCAATATCCCGGCGCGGTAAGCGGTTGCAATAACAGCGAGCTTCGGAAATAATTTTATTTCTGTCAAAGAGAATCAATGGGAGGCAGAGGCAGAGGCAGAGGCAGAGGCAGGGGCAGAGGCAGAGGCAGAGGCAGAGGCAGAGGCAGGGGCAGAGGCAGAGGCAGAGGCAGAGGCAGAGGCAGGGGCAGAGGCAGAGGCAGAGGCAGAGGCAGAGGCAGGGGCAGAGGCAGAGGCAGAGGCAGAGGCAGAGGCAGGGGCAGAGGCAGAGGCAGAGGCAGAGGCAGAGGCAGGGGCAGAGGCAGAGGCAGAGGCAGAGGCAGAGGCAGGGGCAGAGGCAGAGGCAGAGGCAGAGGCAGAGGCAGGGGCAGAGGCAGAGGCAGAGGCAGAGGCAGAGGCAGGGGCAGAGGCAGAGGCAGAGGCAGAGGCAGAGGCAGGGGCAGAGGCAGAGGCAGAGGCAGAGGCAGAGGCAGAGGCAGAGGCAGAGGCAGAGGCAGAGGCAGAGGCAGAAGAGAAAGATAACATGGCTAATTCGTAGGGAGAAATAAGCGAAGAGAGTCAGACACGTTTGAGGATGGTTAGACAACCGAGAGACGAAATGATGGAATGAAAGAACAGACGGAGAGTTTCTCTTTGACGAGAGATGTGGATTGGGGTGATTAAAAAAGTAAAGAAAAGAAAGAAAAAAAGTATTATCGTGACAGGGAACGGACAAAACTTTTTTTTTCAATTCGTCTCGTCGACTTTTCCAACGACGTTGATACAAATTCGTTATGTCAGCTGTCAGCGCCGCGACGTCAGACTCACGTGGCTCAACGTATATCGTAAACCCCCGTATGCTTTTGTGCAAATTAATCCTAAATTATGCTGACTGTATGCCAAAAATATAAATGAGATCGTACGTGTGCGTGCTTTCGGTGGGATTAATTCGAGCATTAAAAGTAGCTTTGTGATCAATTAAAAGAACAAGCCGTAAGTTGAAACTTGCAATTTGCTTCCTCCGAATCGCAGGTAGTGTACGAAAGTCCCTATATGAGGAAGTATTTTCATTTTTTTTATATCTTTGGCTTCCTCATAGATGAATCTTCATTTACTACCGAACCGCGAAATTTTTTATGTATTGCAGCTAGATGATATTTCATACTTGCAGAGAATTGCTGTTCGATACGTAGAAGTAAGCGCTAGTTACAGGGATAAACTTGATTTTTCGAAAAATTCCAAATTATCATAAAATCAAAACTTCTCGATGGATTCCAAATGCAATACCAATTAACCTTGGATACAAATCTCTTCGTCCAGAACTATTTAGACGAGTATCAAAAAATTTGCCATCGCTGGAGTGATAGCGTCCTTTTTTTGGGAATTTGAAAACGACATAAAATCTGACCCGCAGCTTGAATCATGACGAAAATTGTAGCAAATGAAGGCATTATAGAGCTGCACATAAGCACATCCGGAAATTTTTTCCAAATGTTTTTTCTCGACGTTTTGGCACATTCTGAACATGGGGACATGAAGACCTCGAAAAAAAATGTTCCATCGTCACATAGCTTCCTCTATGAGAAAGCAGAAAAGACCAGAGGCCTTCACTACGCGGTATATAAATGCCGCGAAGTCCCCTGAAAATACGAGCCCTCGCCCTGTTACGGATTAACCCCGTTTCCACAATTTTCATAGGAGCTTCATCCCTTTTGCTTTACATTTTCCTGCATAATTTTACACGTATCTCCGTGCTGACATTCAAATTCGTATTCGTTATCTGTATTATGCGCCCACCCAATATACCAACAGTACATCATACCTATATCTATATACTCAAAGAGCTCATTCATTTACCCAAAGAACCCCCCCACTTTCCTCAGGACCCACGAAATCCATTAAAATAATCCAATCCCGTCGAATGTCTCGCGATATGCTTGATAAATATTATTAAAATTAACGAAATCCAAAGTACTACCCCCTCCCCTACCGTCCACTCGCCATAACCCTTTCCACAGAATTGATGGCTCTCGTAGCGAACTTTACGACTCTCCCTCAATCTACCCCAATTCCACATTCAATTTCCTTTGGAGTCTCTCGCGACAAGAAAAATAAAAATAAAAAAATTGTAATTGTCAATTTTCCGCGAGCATTTACAAAATTTCTTAAATATCCTTTTTTTCTCAAATTCCACTAATCCCAATTTCCAGCCGGACTTCGATCACTGATATTTGTAAATCATAGACCTGGGGAGGGGGGATCGATAAAAATTGTCTTAAAGAGTCCCGCGTATCGAATGTACCGGTGACCCTTGTACGCCTGAAGGGGCCGTAGAAGGAAGGGCCAACTAAGGGTGCGATCCCGATAATACCAAGGAACAGCAGCAGTCCAAACTTCACGTTGTAATTTGCAGCTGTAGCCGCAGACACCGTGAGATCAAATGTTTGACTCCCTCATAGCAGAGAACTGGAAGTGAACTGTTGAGTAGAATGGAGGTAAGCGTGGATGTGTATGCTATTGGCGGGAGAAGCGGAAACTATATGGAACCGGTTCGATGGATTTGCCATGTTAACTTCGAAACCATCCTTGGTACAATAGCGGCTACTGCTGCGCCGTTAACACAGGCTCCGGATCCAGTGCCGTAGAATCCCAACGCTAGTCAACTTATTATTACGGCATACTCTACATAATTAACGTTGCCAATTAAATACCAACGTACTGTGCAAACCGACGGCGTCTTGTAATTCGTTCTCGGATTTCATCACGTCGTCGGTATTAATTATTCCTCAAGGAGCATACGCACTTACGGGGCTTCCATGGTATTGATACAAGAGACTGACGCAACAGGGAGCAAAAGGCGCGTCCGCATGCAACCTGAAATATTGTTTACCATCCTCGCCCGTGCTATTTACTTTGCTTTTGTAAGCCGCCGGCTTTGTTTAACCGGAAGGCAAATTTCCAATGCACTAAAAACAGTCTTCGTCCTGATAATAATAACAATAAACACACGTGGACTTTATTCCACGATACAGTGCATAGAACGACAACTATTGTGCTCGTATATTACTTTTTCACAAATAAATAATACGTCACTCACCGGCAGTCACCAGCTGGAAGACGCACGGTCGGAATTGAGAACCGATGCTGTTCTCTGCCCAGCACGATAAAGTCCCGTAGTCCAATTCCGTGGCCGGAGTGATATTCAAGATGCTCACGCCGCTGGCTTCGATGGAATATCTTCCCGTGGCGACTTCGAGAGTTTCGCCGCTGTTATTGAACTTCCACCTGAAGCTGTGGGCGGGTGGATCGGCGTCGACCTTGCAGGGCACGTCGACGGATTCGCCACGCGACGCGCCGATCACGACGATCCTGTCTTCCGTGCAGACCGGTGCGTCTGCGCATGCGTCAATTGATTTATTAATCAGGTTAACACGGGCGGCTTATAATCTGCACGCGCAGCGACAGAGAGATATTTGGATTTTCTAGTGAAGAATTTTTTTGCGTATCATAACAATGGCCTTTTGAAAATAATGATCTGCGGGGCTTGGTGCCGGATTTCAAAAGGCCGATTCACACCTGTACCGGGACAGTAGGATTAATTTATATATCACGTATACGTTATATTCAGGGATGCTACGGAAATATTGGAGCGATAAATAAAGCCTGCGCCATTCTGTATTATATTAATAGAATAGCATTAACGTCGTATAACGTTGGATGACGCGGTTAGGTTAAAATATTCGGTATGGAAATTCACGTGGGTTATCTATTCATGTGCTTTTGGTTATTGCCGGCCGGTATACATGTATATCCTTCGACACTTATTACATGCATACATATCACTAAGGGTTTTTGAATTTAACGAGGCGTCGAGATAGCCATCTAGATAATCGGATTGAACGACGGTATGCTATAGGCGATAGCTACGTGAGATGAGAGGATCAGATACCAATGGATATACTTAATACAGAGATATATAAATTAACTGGCAGCATCCCAAAGCACTGTTTGCTGGTCTGTACCCTCATTAAATAATTTCAATCTGTATCAATCTATTCGATCGATTAGCACTTATTGAAAATCCCAGTTGCTATCCTCCGATTGGCTAGTACCCCGGAACGACCTCTCCTTATCTCGAATAGTACCACAGCAGTAAGGAGACGGTAATTGAAAATTTAACAATGTGCTCCTCTCGTAAACCGCAGCTACAGCGCAATATACTTAATGACAAAATCATTCAGCGGAATACTATTCAGTGATGGTTCTGGAGTGTCGATTGGTGCCAATTCTCGGGATGAGATAAAGCCATCCGAGAGTCTATTCGCAAAGTGCAGCCCCTGATGAGTGCGTAAGATCCAAATGCAGCCTTAAGCAACGTTAACGGCACTGCTACCCCATGGCTACAAGATCCAGGGGCGTACTGTACAAGGGTGCTAAAGGACCCATCTCCCCTGATTGGTCCAAGCGTAACAGGTAGGTAACGGAAAGTGACGACAGATAACACGTGTACCTTGTAGATAATGCAGGAGCGGGGATGGCTTTTATAGTATTTACAGGTTAACTTTGGTATTTCGAAAAAATTCTCTTCGTCAAGACGGATCCACGCAGTAGCGTCGCTACCGAAGGTAAAATCTTTCCCGTGGGTCTCAGCTTGCGGCTTCCCCGACCGTTATGCTGGCAGGTTGGCACTTCGTTTCTTAACGAAAACGGGAGGAGCGCTCGGTCGGTCGTGCGTGACGCGTTCCTTTTGAATTATTGAAAGTTCCCGCGCAACTGAAAAGGGACTGAAGCGTCTTGCCGATGAGTCACTTTGCCAACTTTGAACACTTTGCTCTTCCTTCCATTCCATTTTCTTTCATCCTTCCCTCTGCTTTACCTAGTAAGACGCATGTACACACGTACTCTCTCGCTCTGACGTATATCGCTATCCGCACAAACGTGTCTCTGTCCTTCTCATCGTTTCGTTTTATCCCGTAATTCTCCGAGCACGGAAGACATTAGTATCCCGCCCATAATTTCCGGAATATCGGCTAACTTCCTTAACAAGCGCACACTCTGCGACTCGACTCCTTCCGTTTTCTGTTCTGTAGGGTATAGTTGGGTACATAGATATAGGACATCCCGCTAGATCCCAGTGATTCGGGAGAACCTAAAGCACCCCGAGCAAAGGCTCCAACTTGATGACTGACTTCCGGGTAAACATTCTCGAGGAATTAAAGGGGTGACGAATCGGCGACGTCGGGACTTGAGTTTTGCCTCCCGATGTATACTCGTTAGTTTGTTACTTCCGGTATGTTTTCTAGTTGCTGTTGTATATATATATAAATAATTAAAGTATAGTTTGAGGACAGTTTGAATAATACAGCCGCTAGTTTGAGAACAATTGTATAGTTTCGGGTCGGACCTCAAAGTTTTTTCAACATAATGTATGTTTTGAGGCCCATAAAGCGACTGTCACACCAAATTTATTTTTTTTAATGCTAGACATCCGCAGTTGTCACGAGCTTAGAAAGTGTTTCGTTAGGTTAGGTTAGGATTTCAATGCTGTGATGCGTGAGGGTATTAGCTAAAAAAAAACGTTAGCTTGCTATTGTGAATGCCCCTTAATCACCTGGGTCCTCAAACTATACTTATTACATGATTATATATATATATATATACAGAGAGAGAGGAGAATATCTATACCGGAAGTTGAAAATTCTAATGTCCTGAAGCGTCTGATTACAAAAAGATTGACGACGTCTGATATATTTATATATATAGGTATACTATATGTATGACGCATGGAGGAATTCTATCGATTTGTTCGATTTTTTTAGTGTCCTATATGTATCGGTATCGAACGAAAGGGTGTCGACGAGCACGTGGCGCAGCGTGTGTGGTTAGAGCGCTAATGTTGCTCGGAGCATCGTCCTGGTGAAAATCACGTAAAGTTGGCGAATATAAAGAATCCGGCAAGTTGTCGGAATACCTCCTGAAGTGAGGTACTGCGTGGTTGGCAATCGTGATCGAAGGACTAACGTTTTCCGGGCACGCGTCAACCGTTTTATTGACGGCGTCCTTTTACGAGCGCGAAATCCACTTGAAACGAACGACAGAGTTATGCAAGGCCGTATTCGCCCCGTACGCTTTCCCTTTACGTCCGCCTTTTCTCTAGGGGTAAATTCGAGGGGGTTGGCAGCCCTGGGGTATGGACGGGTACTACGGGCTATACGAGTAAGTCAGTTGGCTCGCGAATAAAATGGACAAATTAAGGGCGGGGGTTGGAATCGTTATTTTTTTTTTCGAAAATTTTCAACCCCCAAATTCTCCAGCGTGGACGATTCTCCATTAGCGTATTCTCAGCGAGGACGACCGGAGCCTTTCTCGTTTCTACTTCCAGATTTATGACCGTCCTCAGAGCGGATACCGTCGTTCATCAATAATTGACGAAATCCACGAGGGCGTCGCGACGCCAAGTAGAGTTTGACAGTGTGCCAGGGTCCCAAAAGGAATTCCGGAAACGCGGCAACCCGTAAAAAGGAAATTTTACTCTGCCGGATGTCGTAAGGAGGGCATGAGTCCCAAGGAGTCAAATGTAACCAGGATGGGTTACAGGGACGAAGGATTTTTAGTTCTATAAAAAAAAAAAAAATATGACGAGAGAAACTAGCAATAAAAGGAGGGTAATGTGATGGTACCGTGAAGTCATACTGCATAAAGAAAAGGTAGAAAAAAAAAGGTCCACCCTTTAAATTTTCGCATATTTTTATTCAACGTTCTTATATACGTCGTGTATTTGGGATGCGGCCTATAACCGGAAATTGGGTATAAAAAATGTACGTTGGGCTAAGTACGCGTTAAATATTCACCAATTCCTTACTATCGAACGTATACGTGTATACTATGTTCTCAACCACCGACCTCCAAAACCATATTTGCAGTATATGGTGAAATTTTGAAAATTTCATATCTCCATCGGTAGATCATATTATTTTTTATTTTATATTTCAAAAATCCTTCTTTCTTCGTGTATCCGTCCCTGACATCAGTCTTGCTTCCCTTATACTGAAAAGTCCAATACCCATGGATCTTAACACTATACTATATATATATACGTATTAGAAATCTACTCACATTTCACGCGAAACGGCAGCGGTTCGCTTTTGGTTTCCCCGAGGGAATTCGTGGCAGCGCAAACGTATGAACCGGCGCTGCTCCTGGTCACGCTCTGCAGGACGAGACTTTGATTCGACCAGATGATCCTGGCTGATGTGTTGTGCGTCAGGATTTCATGCTGCGAGAGACAGAGATATATAAATATATAGATAGATAGATAGAGAGAGAGAAAGAAAGTGTTATTACGTTATTAAGCGAATAACGATCGTTAGAAATTTTTCAAAACCAAACGAGTCGGGGTATCCAAGTTTTTAATAATAAATATTAAAACCACTCATGAAAAAAAAAAAATTAAAAAAAAAAGCAATATGGAAGAAAAATATATCAGTGTAATATCAGCTATGTCTTAGTCGTCATTTTACCTCATATTCCTGTTTTTACATACTTTTCCTGTTATTCATATTTTACATTCTATTACATAGGGCGACACAAAAATACGAACGGTATCGTCCCCCACGAATAACTATTCGTAATATACGTTTCAAGAGCATACGTCATATTTCTGAAAAGATTTGCCGAAATTTTTTTTCAAATTTATATCTTATATAATATAAACTATATACTCTAAATAACGATTAGTTTCCTTTTGTCTGAATTTGATTTTTAAAGTATTTCCTTAATAAGCATATCCCGTTTCTATAACAGAAAACGGGTAAAGTAGATTAAACCGTGCGGTTGGGAGTTAGTTATAATTTCTAAAAACTATTGTTGCTCCTAGACAGTTGTTACCTATTGACTTTTAATCCACGTAATCTTGCATAAAAAAGTTATATACAGTTATATAATAGTTAATCCATAACGTATTTCTCTGACGAGACTGCAAGTTCCAAAGTCGTTTTGCAATTCTCGGAGGATTCGCTAAAATGCAACAAAGTAGGTAAATACCATTGGGTAAGAGAATCCAGTATATCTATACCATACAAATATCGAGTCGATCTACGAATAATCGAAAATAGCGAAATAAGGCACGGTGATGGATTTGTTTAAGAGTCCCCTAAACATTTGTCTCATGGTCCCTCGTAATAATTAGATAAATATTGCGTGTACACGATAAACCGTAATCAGCAGTGTTGGATACTAGTAATTTTTGACCTGCCACTCGTTCTGCTTCCGTTCGTTCAGAATATCAAAAAACTCAATGAACTGCGGACGATCAAAAATGGGGATGGCTAAAAAAATTAATTCAACTTGAAAATGGCCTCCGCTCAGACGTGGTACCTCGACGGCATATTGCGAAGGCACCTACGACGACGTAGCTCAGGGTGGTGCCAGTGAATTAGGGTCGTTCAATTTTCAGGTCAAACATCGCTGCCAAAGGATTTCAACTAGGTACAAGGGAGAAGATAGTTTAATCAGTCCGAGACGAGACGCCTGGCGTCGTCTTTTGTCTTTGGCAGCCATTTCCCTGGGGCGTCGCGACGTTTTTCCTCGGTAGCGATCCTTACGTCCTTAACGTCTTCCCCTTAGCCGGATGTAGCTTCTGGTTGGCATACCTGGTACAGTTTGACCCCTTGCCCCTAACCCTCTTACCACCCCCCAGTACCTACCACCCTTACCGAATCCACTCAGCGATGCGCGAAGACAATTCGAAATCGATTTAAAACGAGGCCATTTGAATCCTGGAGGGAAACTACCCTTAATGTCTCTCTCTCTCTCTCACTCCATATCCACCCCTTCAAAGTTCAGCCTCTCTCGCTCTCGCAGCTCTACCGGAAAGGGGTAGAGGGTCTATATTCGACTCCTGTATCTCCCGAGCGGACCTACCCCTGAATTTATTCGATTGTTTTATAATCTACGACTTCGAGGGATTCTCAACCCCTAGACTCTGCCGCGTAACACGTGCGGTTATGCCCAACCCCTATTTTCTGCCACCCGCCACTCACCCTTACCTACTTAAACTTATTGTTATACGTACCCCACCTTTGGTTTAATTTTTTGTTTTGTTTCCTTTGCCACAGGGGTTTGCGCCCAAGTACGTCTTCTCCAGGGGTCGTACCGCGTACCAGGCCTATAGCTTCCAGGCACGTAGTTGCGGCTGTGTCTATAGATCTACGTTTTGTAGGTACTTGTTAATCGTGAGTCAAGAGTCTCGGCCTCTGCCGGTAAAAAGGTGCCACTCGGGGTTGCGCGTTTCGAGCAATTAACGGGAAGACGGGGAGGGGAAGGCTAACTCAATTAAACTAGATTGTAATCTATGTACAGTGTGGTCGAGTCTAGGGAAGACGGGTTAGCACGCTTAGCATAGGTTAAGCCCCGGCTAAAGCCCAGGGTTTACCTACGGTTACCCTTGGTGGTGCTAGACTCTCTTGGTGGCGAGACGATTGAGAACCACCCTTAGCCGCCATAACGTTTGCCGAGTAAGGGTCGTTTTGTCAATTTACCAAAATCATTTTCCGCCTATATTTATTTTCGTATAATTCCGCGAGGCCGCTTGGTGTAAGAGTAAAAAATTGTGTGCTTTCTTTTTTTTTCAAAAATATCTATGCAGAGTAAGGGTTGTTGTCGGTATACTTTTTCATTTTTTCGAAACTCGGATAAACTCTGACTTCGGGGGTGAAAGCTATACGAATATCTAGGAGCTGCAGTAGGGATGCTCTGAACGAATGTGAAAGTTCTTACTTTCTTCTTCTTCTTCTTTGTTCCTTTCTTCTACTCACTTCCCGTCATATGATATTACCTTCATTTTTTTTGGGCTTTTTTTTCTTTCCTTTACTAACTTTGAAGTCTTCCCTCTTTCCTTACTCGATTCATTCCTCAATGTATGTTTCTGTTATTCTCTTCGCTTTTATGCATTTTTCTTTTTATTCTTCTTGTCCTCGGATACCGTCAGCACCTCGACTCCACCAGACTCCGCCGTGCCATCTCCTTTCCTTACTCCATCCACTTGGTTTTTATTCTTTTTTTCATTTTTCTTCCTTTCCTCCTCTTCTATCTTTTATCCAATCTAGTCTTCCACCTGCTGCACGCAACTATGTTCCGTCGGCTAGAAAATTCGTAACGCGCTCTGTTGTTGCAGTTTAAGCAGTTTCCGCTGTTTTATCGACCGAGCTACCAATACTGCTCTAACAGGGATGCATATGACGGCAGAGAGGTAAGGGTGCACGTCCAACACTTTTGGTAGGCGGAAGTTAGAAAGGTAGAGGGTATAAAGTACACGGTATAGGTGTTCAAAGATATAAGGTATATTGACCCCTATCGAATCGACTAGACGAATATTCCATAAGTTTGAGAAAATTCGGAAAATCGTCAACAGGGTACAAGGTTATCAAAGTTGATGATAAGATGAATTTCTTTTTTCTCATATTAACTCGTAGAATGCCGATTAGGTCGTAATTATATCTTTTTCAGGTCTTTCACGTAAACGTCAAGGGCAGCTGTCAAAACTACAAAGATGGAGAACGACAAACTCTGATGGAGTCGGCGAGACGGGAGCACGTCTCAGGTAATTAGATTTCGGAGGTTTTCGACCTAAATAAGGGCTAACTAACTTCTCCAACCCCCTGATCAGACCCCTTAACCGATGAGCCCATCATCCATTCTCATGCCCATCTTACTCCTCAATCTCACCACCAATCCTAATTACGTCCTGACGTTAACTCGATTTGGATCACTAGCTAATTTTATTTATTTCCTGGCAATTGCTTCGACCTTCATCCAATTATTGAGTATCCAAATTCCCGGAGCAGCGAGACCTCCATCCGTTCATCCGGAACACTGTTCAGTCTTCTCGTGATACTAATTCCTCGACAGGGTCTTCGGCCACGAATGCCAACATCCATAAAATCAATTCCAAGACAGCGAAGTCTTGCCCGATGGCACAAGGGGTAATTCTGGACAAATCAAAAATGTACTCCATCAAGATATCCTTATCTCTTCTATGCGTCACAAGGACATCCCTCAAAGGCAGGACTCTGTACGGTACAGTGGTCCCTGAAGGTCCTGCCTGTGAGACTCGGTCAGGTGTCTCTTCCAGGTGCTGTCAGGAGCGTACCCAATATGGAACCTGAGGGTGGACAAAGTGGGGGAGGACGCGATGGCTAAAATCGATGGTAGGTAAACCACTGTAATACCAATAAAAAAAAAGAAAAGTACTTCTCGTCTCCAATCGGTGAATACGAGCGACCCTTTGCCAATTTTTCGCTAGATGCATTTCGCGACGACTGGCTTCTCTCTTCGGATACACGTTCTACCGGTATGGAATTCTATATACTATATAGTGATACTGTTACCGGTACTATCATTTATGTTGTGTAGTTCGAGCGGCTCACCAGCCCTCCCCTCTCCCTCCTTCGCCCTGCGTGCAAAGAGGGAGCGACATTCCGGTTGGACGGGGCACTGATTCCTTGAAAAATTGCCAACAACCCACCTTCCCCCCCCCC